GATGTTGAGTAGAATGAAGTGAAATTCACAAGTCGCCCCTGGGGATAAAATATGGAAAATTCGATTTTCCTCAACCGAAATAAAAGGTGTCTGTTGCCCATATTTCCATGCAAGCCGTGTTCACTAAATGATTAATTATTAAAAACCTAGCTTCGGAAAACCAAAGGCTGGAGTGCTGCAGGTGGCTAAAGGGTTGAAAAAGGAGCTTTATCTTGTAAGAAAAAATCGAAAGTTGCACCGATTTTTGCACACAAGCCTATTGGGAGTATGAAAACGTCCACCGTCACTACCTCGAAAAACATATTGGCTTGAGTAGTGGGAATGGATAAGTACATTTTAAGGTCGGAAAATTTGACCGATTTTTTTTTAGTTCGCGTAATATCGGTCAAATTCTTCGACTTTAAAATGTACTTATACATTCCCGCCACTCAAGCCAATATGTTTTTCGGGGTAGTGACAATGAACGTTTTCATACTACCGATAGGCTCGTGTGCAAAAATCGGTCGAAATTTCGATTTTTTTCTTACAAGATAAAGCTCTTTTTTCAACCCTTCAGCCACCTGCAGCACTCAAGCCTTTGGTTTTCCGAAGCTAAGTTTTTAATAATTAATCATTTAGTGAACACGGATTGCATGGAAATATGAGCAACTCACACCTTTTATTTCGGTTAAGAAAAATCGAATTTTCCATATTTTATCCCCAGGCGACTCTTGAATTTCACTTCATTCTACTTTTTATCGAAGTACTTTTTAACCCTCTTCGAGGCTTGTATGCGAAAGTGGGGCACCTAAATCTGTCACTATCTGACGGTCTAATAGTTTTTGACGGTTTTGTGAGTCGTATTTTTCTGATTATTGTATGTGTTGCGCCGGTACTAAAACAATAATTCAGTTGCCCGGACTATTAACAGCTGATTCTAAAACGCCAGCGCCGCCAACTACATGGACGACACGGCCAATCACGATCCGAGAATACAACCAATCAAGACACTTCAAAAAGAAGCGTAGAACACACACACACACAGCGAGACGCATTAATTTTTTTTTACTTATTTTTCCATGTAAATTTTCAATAAAAAAAGTACAACTTGACTCCAATCTCTTTCCTGGCTAATTCACATCAGTATGGCAGTTTCACGACCATTGATCGAATGTGTTTTCTGTGGTGTTTTCAATATTTTTGCTAGTTTTACGCTTTACGCGATAGAAACGTTGAAATTCGCCAATACTGTTTGGATTATATATTTTTTTTGGTCGCTTCTTTTGCCGGTTTATCACAGGTCTGAAATAAACAGCGCTTCCAAACTTTAGAATAAACAAAGAACGACAAATAAACCAGTATCGGACTAAAGTAAAGTAAACCTTATACTAATTTTCAATAAGTTACAATAAGGATAAACAATGAGCACCTAGTCCAAATTAAAAAATAAATCTAACAACTATGTTAAAATATTTAGCGTTTTATTATTATTGATACCTAGTTACTAAAAAATAGATTTTCAAATAAACTATAAAGTATGTTTTTTTTTTTTAAAGATAATTCCCCAAGTCAAAAATTTACTAACTATGTTGGCAACACAAGCCTTTTCTACATAAAAAATTTGAAAGCATTGACAATTTTACATTGTATTGCCAACATAATATCATTTTGACTTTCATCTTTAAAAAAAAAAACAGACTCTACTTCATGTCTAGTATTTTCGCTTTTTTATAATTATGTAAATGTTGCAACATCGCACATTTAGCTTCAGAACCACTAGCCAGACATTAGATTACAACGTGAGATTCGCTAACTTAAGATCCAAGTCACTGAGAAAAATAATCAGCTTTATTTAATAACTCATAATAAGAATGGATATCTATATCTGTAAGTTTGGGAGGGTAATATGCCACAGTACTTAGGCCATATTAGGCCCATTGTGCGCCTCCACAAGAGGAAAGATCATTCTTAGCTCTTGTCTCAAGACTAAACTTTGTGGTAGGCCGCTGTGTACTGAGAGTGATGTTCCTGTCCTAACCTGAAAGGTACGTCCAGTAAGGAATTCCTCAAGAAGTCGCAGTAAATTACCTCTGCTTCCAAAATGATGTAGCTTATATAATAAATACCTACATAATATATTGTTGGTTTCTTATCAAATGGTTTTTCGAAGTCAAGGAAACCTACATCAATTGGATCGTTCTCATCATCTGCCTTTGTCCACATATTGGTTAGGGGATTCCTGAAAGTAGATTTTTTAGGGGAGAAAATCGTGTTGTTGGGGTGGTACAATATGAGCTTCGAGTCAAAAGCTTGTGAGTCCCTTGGCTATGATTTTTTTTGCATACATTTACATAGGGCGCTGGTCAGGCTGACTAGTCTGTATTCTTCTACTAGCTTTCTGTCACCCTTTTTGAATGAAGGTATAACAACTGCTTTTTTCAAAGGTTGTGGTAAATCTCCTGTGGATATTATGTCATTCATAAGTGCTGCCAGAGACCTCTTTAGAGTGTGCAAACAATTTTTACGAAATATTAAGTATTATTGGCGACCTCTACTTTTTCTGGGGTGAAATTTATGGTGTTGGTTTCTGTTCTGGAGTAGGATTCAAATGGAAGTGCTGGTCTAATATCTGTAGGGCTTAGTTTATACTGAAGTGGGTGTGTTTAGAGTTAACATACAAAAAGACCTGTTTGGTGTTGTTCAATAGATTTTGTTCATATTGTTTTCAACTTCTGACATTATTTTGATGCTAGTACTGTTGATAATTTTTTTAAGTATTGTTGTGCCTATAATTGTGCCACAAGTCTGTCTCAGTTATCCATGGTTTTTGAGCATTAACTTTTTGTGGTGTTATGGCATATTCTCGTTGATTGTAAATTCCAAAGTATTGGAGAATTCTTCAAATAAATGTAGATTAGTAGCTTGTACAAGTTGTTGCTGAAGGGTTTGGCTTACTTCAGTGTAATTTGCCTTCCAGAAGTTCCTTTTGTAGATTTTTCTTTAGTTCAGACATATTCTTCTTAGATAGTTTTCAACAGGATAGGCAAAACCATAGACTTAAATACTACGAATAGACGTCCAGTGGAAATAGCAGCACAAAAAATGCCTCAATAATTCATAAGATGGCGCCACTCGTATTAAAAATTCAAAGAAAACTGTGCTAGCATCCTTGTGTACGAGCAGCGTGTCATTGTTTCCAGGACAACCGCATTCCGCCTTTTTTCTGATGTTTCGGTGTTGTCAAATTTATACGGACAAAAAACTAGACAAGAATTCTCTTTGCTATTTGCGACTTTCGAAGAAATTAATTATTGCTTGGATTTCAAAGAACTAATTTTCAAAATCCATTTAAAAAAAAAATCCATTTCAGCTTTCACTAGAAATAGAAAACTTAAAAATTTACAAAATAAGTGAAATTTATTTATATTAAAAAAAAATCTTAACATTAACAATTTATTAATTTGCGTATAATATTTAGTATAAAATGCAGTAATAAAAAAATTGGTGTCTTAATGTATGGTTTGGCCTATTTAATGATTTTGGACTAGTTATTTTAGAACTATTGGCAACAGCGTAACGCGCGAATTTGAATTATGACAGAAATGCGCGCCATCTCGTATCTAGCATCTAAAATACCAAAGCCTGAATTGAATTTGGAGGCTCGCTTTCGATAGCGAGCCTCCAAATAGCGTCGCAGATTTTTACCATTTGACTGGACGTCTATTCGTAGTATTAAGTCTATGGCAAAACCAACGACATATTACAAATTTAAAGTTACATCTTATACATTTTTCTTCAATAGGAGTTGCTTGAAAGCTATCCAAATTATTTCCTCCAGTTGAGGTCCCCGCAGCAAATCCATCTTGTGTAGATATTTTATTACAGACGAAAGTACAAAATATTATATGAGTTTTGGATAATTCTTTATATGTATTTGTTTTCTAGAAAATCCAAAAGTTGTTCATTTATTCTAGATTTTGTTTAATTCGTTTTTCAATACAATTCATTAATCAACCTTTGTGATGCTATGCATCGTGGCTCAAATTAAAGGGGTTTAATTTTTTTATCCCATTTTAATGTTTAAAAATAACATTATTGAACACACAACAATAAAGGTAAGTATATAGACGTTTATCACCTCAGTGATTTAAAAACATTTTAACTCACTCTCGGCATTTTAAGTCACTCTGCCCAACTAAAAATCTGAAATCTAAGTGGTTTAAAATATTTTTAACTCACTCCCGGCAATTTTCCTTGTACTTTATTTTTTAAATTTCTACAAAATGGGATAAAATTTTGTATACATCGCGTGAGTTGAAATGTTTATTCATTCATCACTCGATAGGGCTCGTGGGTTAAACTTTCTTCTCATGAATAAAACATCATTTAACTCATTTGGTGTATAATAGTTATTTATACACCAAGTGAGTTAAATGAATGTTTATTCATGAGAAGAAAGTTTAACCCACGAGCCTAGCGAGTGGGTTAATGAATAAACATTTTAACTCACGTGATGTATACAAAATTTTATCCCATTTTAGATAGATAGACATTCGAAAAATAAGGTACTTAATAGGTATCAAATTATAAAAAGAATTCATATAGCGAGCGCATATCAAATATTGAAACTGGTAGTTGCTAGGGTATAACTAGTTGTTTGTTTGTATTTGTAGCAGATTTTTATACCGGCAGAGTGACTTAAAGACCGAGAGTGAGTTAAAAATATTTTAAGTCACTCAGGTGATAAACGTCTACTTACCTTTGTTATTATGCGTTCAATAATGTCATTTTTAAACGTCAAAATGGGATAAATAACTATTATTGACGGTTGGATGAAAAGTGTCAAAACCAATATGGGACTAATATTGCATGTAAAAATATAATAATACTCAATCGGAAGAAAAGAGATTCAAATTCTAAGTATGGAATTTTTGAGATTAAATTTCTGCTTATATTGTTTTCTTGTTCTTATTTCCATTGTTATCAATTTGTTAAAAATTAAATATGTAGTTTGTTCTTACCGAAACAACTCCTTGTCCAATATTATAAACACAAACAGATAATCCTAAGAATTTCGACTTTGTATATACATGAGCGTTAAAACTTATTCTCTTATTCACATGTTCGGCATAAAAGGCTGAAACTAAAAACAAACATTAATCAAATAAAAACTAACAGCAAAAATACAAAATTCTTACTTGGCGGATGATGCGATACTTGTTCCGCGACGAACGTCAACTGATCCATTTTACACCACGGTACCGGGCCTTCCAGTACTTTATCTTCAATCGAATCACTTTTCGTATCCTCCAAGTCCCAGTGGCACCTGAATACCTCACCCAGGATCGGATTATAAGGTTTTTTTGCCACCGAACTTTTACGGCCTGCATGGTACGCCGATAAATACCATTTGACCACTTGTACTATTCGGTCTCTGGGCTCTTTTAAATCTGCTATCCTAGAGAAAATTAATGAAAATATGTACATATTAATAGGAATTTTTATGCACAACTTTCCACACAGGAAAGATTTTGTAAGCTTTTTGTTCAATGAAGTTGTTAAAGAAGTGAAATAATGCAGAAAAGTGAAATCATCAATGACTCTGAAATTTACTCGATAGCTCTTACCTTAAAAACAAATCAGGATGGGCAAAATAATCCGCATACATCTCCAACAAGGATCGCCGTTCCAATATAAAAGTAGGCAGCACCACTTTCGTCAAATCCATCCCGATTTTCACCTGGGACAATAGATGCCTGATAACCGATCCGTGACTTTCCATTTCCACGTCGGGCTCGTCGTCGTCTTCGTACAATGCTAAAAATTCATTTTAGAAACCGAGTTTATTGATTATTGATTTTTCGCTCACCATCGTAATCCAAATCTTCTTGGTTCACACTTCTGACGGATTTAACGCTGCCTTTCCGGACGGATGATACTCGAGTGGTCGTACCTGATGTTGGGAGACTGGGTTTGGGGGCCGACGGAATTTGAGTTTGACCTTCATTATCGAAGGATCTTAGACTACTGTAACAAAGAAAAATTTGTCAATGCAGTGAACTCTAACAATGCACTATAAAACGGAGTCAGAAAAAAGTTAATAATCGGATAATTAATGGAAACTCAGTTGATATTAACATTGATGTTAATTAACCATGAATATGTAAGGTATTTCTTTTTGCAAGCTGCCACATCCATGCTATTTGAAGCATACAATTTCAATATTTAAAATTCAATAAATAGAATAAGCTGCAAAGTGGAAACTCCCAGTCCATCCATCGATATCGCTTGAATGATTTATTACAAAAGTAATTTAAATGGGGTTCTAAAAATAGTTTGTTGAGAAGTACTTTATTGATTTTTTCATCTTCATATTTATTTTTCAAAAAGGGAAATCCAAACGAAGTAAATAAATATGGAAGGAAAAGTGGCCCAATTCCGTTACTTTAATTTATATTTTCATGAATGTACGAATAATGATAAATATGATATACATACTTGGATAATATCTAACAAGCTAAATCTTGCAATTTAGTAATAATGAAAAATAGGTATTTCAATAAATTGCTGGAAATTCTTACCTTCTACGGCGAAAGTTTAATCGACTGTTGATAAGGCGTAACATATCGCTGGTGTTTTTAAGAGACGCAATTTCATTTCACGAGTTTTTATGTCATTACTTCACTTTTTATATTAATACATTTCATTCTTTTAAAACTAGAATCGGATTCTCAAAAACAGGAATTAGAACATAAATTTTCTGAGGCACTAATTTTATATTCTTTTGCGTAAAAATTTCAATACAACGAATTTGAATGGGAAGTTTAAGGATTAAGTTTATTCCAACTAAATATCGGATAGGAGCGAGACATACTAAAAGTTCAAAGCGATTGAACGTCGAGAGGCCAGGCAACAAAGAAAAAAACAACAAAAAGAGGCTAGGTGACAAAAAGAACGGCAAGACGACCTTGGACAACTGCAGAAAATATTTCAAACCATACAAGGATCTGTCACTAACCTGAAACAAAAGATTAAGGAAGTGAAAGCTGAAGTTGAAGATGTTCAAGAAGTTACATGTTCGAGAAGTTAAAAACGACGTTCAGGGAGAAAAAAAATAGAACAAAATCAATGTTCTGCAATTTAGACAAGAAGTTGAGGACCAAGTTCAAGCACTTAAAGAAAAGGTGAATAAATTAGAAATACAGTCCACCAATCCAGGTAGTGTTGGTGCATTATCTAGTATGAAGATAAAACCACCAACTTTTGACGGTTCCACATCCTGGACCAAGTATATCCGACAATTTGAAGCTGCTGCAAACACCAACGGATGGAACGATCAAGAAAAAGCTACAGCACTGATAGTGGCGCTACGAGGACCAGCCTTAGATCTTCTTCAGTCCATTCCTTCAATATACCGACAGAATTACTAGCATCTAAGTCAGAAGTCGTTAGAATTGCGCTTCGGAGACCATTACAGTATTTAGAACTCAAGTTAAATTAAGAATTCAAAAACCCGGTGAGAATTCGAATTGAAAGTTAAAAAGCTAGTGAGTTTGGCGTTTCTTGTAGCTGGGGAAGACATGCAGGAATGGATAGCAGTATCTGCGTTCATTGATGGTCTCAGAAATTCCAAGATCCAGGAAAACCTGAGAATGTCTAAGTTCAGACAAAGTAGCGTAGCCCTTGTCCGAGCATTGGAACTGGAAGCGATCTTTGGTGCCTCACGACCTAGAATACGAGCACTATCGCACTATCCATTTGCTTGCCATTTTGCAATTCATTAAAAAAAGATATTTTAAGTGCAGAAACAAAATGGCATGCACGCAGCTGCAGCCCTACATACAACCCTGTCCCACGGTGGATGGCGTATTAGACGTTTATGGAGAACTAAAAAGCGGATCATTTTGAAAATTTGGCAACCGGGATATTCACTAAAAATATTTTTGTTTATACGCAAATATGCGGTGTTGCCGTTGCCGCTTCTACTCTAAGCCAGTGGCAACATCGCTATTTTAAATGGAACACCCTGTATGTGATTGCATATTTGGATTCTACGTAAAATTCTGAGCAGATTTCATGTGATACCGTATACCCAAGTTCAACTGTTTTGGAAATATTGACAGTTGAAAATTGACTTTTTGCAACTTTGAGAGGCTGTAAAACCTGAACAGTTTTATTTTAGAGAAAAACCGATTTTACATTCCTATCTTAGATTCTTATAATAGTATATTGTGTATTTAGGTCATAGATTTAAAAACAAGCCAAACAAGGCTAGATCAAATTGTTTACATTTTGAAGCAATCATGGATTTGAAATCCTACTCTACCTCTATTCCTAATCTGGTGAATTTCATAGTCGACCTCTTTGCATGGGAAAATCAATGTTGCCAAACTTTTATTATTTTGAGCGCATCGCGATTAAAACTTCAATAGATAACATTCAATCTTCAATTAGCGTATTTATGTATGAGCAAACTAATTTTTGCAATCAATTTTTTTTCATATTTCACCTATTAATAAATATAAAAAGTATAATTTTTCGTTATATATTTTAATTCCATGATACCACTGGCAACACCGCACTCCCTTCCAACCTCATTTTCATTCAATTTGAGCAGCTGATAGTACAGCCTTGTACGCTATCGTAGTTTTTTGTTGCTGTGTTGCTGCAAGTCGGAATTCAGTCGGAATTTGTGTTTTTGTGGATTTTTCAGTGTATTGTGCGTTCCGGATTAAAAAAATAATTAAAAGACCTCTGAAAATGGTTCGTCAGTGTCATAGTCCGGGGGCCGAGGACCTTTTTTCCAAATCATTAATAACAAGCTAGTTTTTTCAATGCAGCTTCATTTCACCGAGACGCCCAACTTTTTTCTCTTCGAAAATTGCGAGAACAGGTAGCTAACATACTGCGCAGGTGTAAAACATGTCGATTTGGTGACTATGAAAATTTAATTAATAACAGTTAGTTTTTCAGCTAAATGTTGAGATAATTTTATGAATAATTTGAAATAACATTCGTCCGACAAAATAACGGGTTTGGTCTACGATATCCCCCCTCTCAAACATGTAGCAATTACGTTGCATAAAAAATGATTAATAACAAGTTGATTTTTTCAATGTAGGTTGGTAAATATTATTACAATTAAATGGTCACACTGTCCTACAAATAAACACGTAGCTATTTTCAGTCCTACACTCAAAAGTTGTCGATTTCACGATTTAACTTTTTTCACTATTAACCGGCTAAATCTCCGTGAGTATCTTCATTTTGATAAGACGCCCAAATTTTCTGTTGCGAAAATTCCAAAAACAGGTAGCTAACAGAGTGCGCAGGTGGAAAACATGTCTATTTGGTAATCATACAAATGTAAATAATAACAGTTAATTTTGCAGCTGAATGTTGAGATAGTTTCATAAATATTATGAAACAACATTTGTCCGACAAAATAAATGGTTTGATCTAGGCTATCTCCCTTCTCAAACATGCAGCAGATACGTTTCATAAAAAATGATTTATAACCAGTTGATTTTTTTAATGTAGCTTATAGTCCAGGAGCTGGCGTCGAAAATATGCAAGAGTTTTCGCAAGGCTCATGTTTTCAGAATGAGTAGCATTTTAGTGCTACAAAGCTAGGCTACAGTCAGCAGTTCCAGTTCCGGGACACCTGGCGCTGAGATGCGCGCAAAGATGTATTTTTAATCAACACCTCGCAACAGTTTTCGCAAAGCTGAAAATTTGCAAAGAGCATGCGAATATAATGTAGAACCATAATTTAACAGTCAGACAAAGAAATACGGGAACACGTAGAGTCAGCGCGACTTTGAAGTGGTCAAAAAAATGACGTCACCGAAAGTGTTTTCGCATGGCTGAAATTTGGCAAGGTAATAGTAAAAACAATATATTTATTGAAAAAAACAGTCAGACACTTCTATGTCGGGACTCCCTCAGTCAGCAGTCGATTAAAGTGATATAGGTGGTAGCGCGCGTCAATAGAATTTTACTCTATATATATCCATTTCGATGAATAATTTTATTTCTATAATTTAAATTATTTGGAATCGGAAACGGTAAAATAAAAATAAATTTCTCTTAATGAGTAAGTGTAAACCTGTAAGTTGCAAGCGTAAGCGCGTATACTTGAATAAGGCGTATATGCATTCGAATTCGGAAACTTCATTATGGTACTGTTAGGTCGAGATTAGGGGAACGGAAGCGGCAGATGTGCGACAACCATCGAGCTTTAAACTGCTAGAGGGATCAACAAGCATATTTGTTTTGTTCCATAATGAGGTAGCGGGGTCAGAGGGGTGATTCATCCGATAAACAAAACGGATGAAATATCTGCAGGTAATTTTTGCTAATAAATTCATAGATATAATTCGAAATTTTGTTTTTTAATGTGAGTGATTACTTATCATTGAATATTTGTTTTACGCAGATTCGGAATCCACAACTACAGAGGGCGTCGAAGAATATGGAGCAGTAGCATTTTATTCTGACGAAGAAAGTAGTGAAGAACACGATGACAGTAATTTGGAAAATTGAATTTCATTTTTGTAATTTTTCCCCATTAATTTTTTTCTATTTAAGTGATTAGAATTTTTTTTTTGTATTTTATAAAATCGGCGACGATTATATGTATTTAATCTACGTCGGTGTCATTATGACACATTTAGCATTGTCATTTGAATGCCATTAGGTCCTTCATAATAGCACTAGTGCGTTTAAGAATTCATAAAAACACCCAAATTATGAAATGAAAAATATACAAAAAGAAAGCTAGTTATCAGAAGAACCTTTTCACTGATGCTGTTTGGATATTTGAAGGGACACTTTCGAACTCAGAATCACCAATATTAACATTATTTTCCACTATAAAACTGAGTTTATCGCACAAAAATTGACTCCAATATTAAAGCTGCCAAAGTCAAAATACTAAAAATCAACAAGCAGGTTCCCGACTAGTACGGGCACCTGCTGAATTTTGAATTTTAATTTGAAAAGTATTTGGTATTTCAAGGCAAATC